ATATTTAAACTTCCATGTGGGGTCTCAACAGAAGATCACTCGAGGACAATCTGAAGTGTATATACACATCTGGCTGCAGCCTCAGCCACTGCGATTCAGCAGGAATGTTTAGAAAGCTCCCCAGGCCATTCTGATAGTCAGCCCGGTGTAGGAATCACTGCCTCTGTGCATCATGAGCTCCTGAGAGGACAAGCAGACATCTTTCTTTCCTCTTTGATTTCTCCCACATAGAGCCAGGCCTTACCTTGCATATGATCCCGTAGCATTACATATGATATACATGTAGTATATTCACATTGTTTGAAGTCTTTCAACCACACCCTTTCTAAGAAAGGTTTCTTTCTTAGAAAGAAAGAAAATAGTCCCGTTTCACTCTTATTTAATCTGCATTATCTTTTAATAATTGATTAATTTGTTTTAAAATGGCTAAACATCTACTACACTTTGGGCACCATTTTCAGGCTTGAGGATACAGAGATTGAAAATTCAAAGTGACATGGGGACATAAAAGAGGGAGAAACTGATTCAGGGGAGTTCTGGAATGTTTTACAACAGAGATAATTTTTGAAAAAGATCTTAAGGAGATCAATAGGAATTTAATCAAAAAACAGGAAAGGGCATTCCAGAGAGAACAGTGTGTGCAAAAGAACAGCAGCATGAGAAGGTCTGGAACATCTAGGGATCTGTGGGAAGTTTAGCGTGGTGAGGGCAGAGGATGTGCACATGGAGGCACGGGAGATGAGGGGGAAAGAAAGGGGCTGAGAGGTAGTGGTGTTCTGGAAACTCCTCAAAAACAACAATAACAAAATCCAAACATGATTTGCAGAGTTTGCCGATTTCTGATTTCAAGCTGTCAATGATTTAGGACTGGCTTACAAAATTCCTAAACATTTTAGAACTGGTTTTTATGAACTGGTAGCAGCTGCTTCCAGTGCATGACTGATTGGAGGTCAGATCCTTTAATTTTAACAGAGATTCTGAAAAAATTTGTTTTCCCTTGCCTTGGCTGTGCCTCACATTAAGATGAGGCTTGTTTTAATGAGTTTGGAGTGGAATAAGCCAAAGAAACACACAAGGGACCTGAAGGCTCACTGAAGCTATTAATTAGGCTCCTACCACTCACCACTAGTGCACTTAGACCTAGGCAAAAGGGACCCCCATTTTGGTTTCTATGATCAAGTGGCCTAGCTCCAGTCTGCTACAGACATAGCCCTTCTCCACAGAATGAGGAATCCTTAGTGCTATGCCCAACAGGAACTTATCTCCTCCATTCCTCCATATACTCCAGATGCCTATGACCCATGACTCTGGCATACTCTCTGCAGATGGAGTCTTCCCTGAAACCACCCTCTTGAAGGCATGTACCTCATCCCGCTGGCCAAAGAGAAGCTGTTTGAGGAAGGTATGGAGATGTGGGGGCTGGGATGTCCACACACATGCATATGTGGCCCTTACATCATGGATGGAGCTGGGGATGCGAAGTGAAAAGAAGTGGGTCAGTCTCAAGCTGCACTGGCTCCCTCTGTACTGCCACATTTTGGTGAGGAACTTTGCATCTAACTGTGAATCTGGCCTTCAAGTTCATTATAAAGGCATATTTGTCAAAGTAAGAGAACAGAACAGATTTAGCACTTTGTTAGTTGGATATATATTTTAAAATATTTAAACATATGGTAAGTGGGCCTTCGTTTTTACTTTTACCCTGGGCCCTGCAAATGTTAGGGGTGGTTCTTGCCTACTTCATTAGTAGGGCTGTGTTGTAAACCAAGGTAAGCAAACTACAGCCTCCAGGTGAATTCCTGCCTACTGTAATTTTTAATAAGATATGTGAGCTTAAAATAGCTTTTACAATTTAAAATAGTTCTTAAAAATCAAAAGAAAAACAATATTTTGTGGCATGTAAAAATTACATGAAACCCACATTTCAGTGTCCACAAATTGCTATCTTGGAACACATCCCTGCTCATTCATCTATGTATTGTACATGGCTGTTTTCATACTACAGCAGCAAAGTGAGTAGCTGGGAAAGACTGTACGGCCGGGAAAGTCTAAGGTATTCACTGGCTAGCCCTTATAGAAACACTTCCTGACCCTCACCCTGGAGTAGCAGACAGGCAGGAGGAAAGGAAGAATCAGGCAGTTCTCACACTGGCTGCACAATAGAATCACCTGTTGATTTCTCCAAGCAGACCCCCCACCCACAATATTTCTTGAATGGTCTGGGGTGGGGTTGTTTTTTTAAACTTCCTGGTGATTCAAAGGAGAGTCAAGGCTGAGAAACAGGGGGCTAAGGGAATTAATACATGAAGGTCTGAATTTCCCAAATGTTAAGCAAGATGGTGCAGGACTGGCCTGCTTTTCCCAGGGATCTTAGTGGATTATAGCCTTTCTTGAGGAAGAAAGGTACCCAGTGATGAGATTTCGTTGAAGATGGAGAGGGGGCAAAAGAGTAATTGTTTTGCACTGTAGTATGATTTATAAGCTCAGTTCAAGGGTTTTAAACCTCTCTAAACCCTTGAACCATTGTTTCAAACATGTGTCCCTGGACTTCCCTAGCATTGTTTGCATCTCTCAGGCAGGCACACCTTAGGCTGTGTACCACATACCTTTGCAGGGACCCCTGCTGGGTCATTTCTCAGGATACACCCCAACAGGGAACCCTTACCCTATCTGTGCAGCATGCCCTCCATAATTATTGGTGGTCTCGCAGGGAAGGAGAAAAAAGACAGCTCTATCAGAATCCCATTCTCCACTAGCACAGTCAGCACCATCAGCAGAGGATGGCTCCAGGGCTGCAAGGCTGCTCTGAGCTATTATTGTGCCTGGCTCTCTCTCAGCATGACTCAATGCAGACAATATAGCACACGGAGAGCGTGGGGGATGAACAGTAAATACGAGGCCTTGGATTTTTTTTAATCTTGTCAGTTTTTCCCTGATTTGTGTCCTTTATCCTAGCCCCCTCTGCTATATAAGCTGCTCAAAGCTAATGCCCATAACGCCACCACCCACTGGTAGCAGCAGGCTGCTGGGCCACTCTAGGGTTCTCATTGCAGAGATTTACAATGCCCGCCATTATTCAGCAACTGTACATGTTAACCCAGTGGCACAAGGTTGCTCCAACACCTTCCCCTCTGGTTTCTCTTTACTCTGGAGGCCAACAGCGACTATAGGAGTGCCGCCCTCCTGACTCGAACTGCTTGCCTCAGTGAGCACACATCACATCCTTCGACCTGGCAGAGCTAGAATAGGCCCCACTGAATGACAGGAACATCGGGCAATTATGGAACTGAGACGATGCCTGACATTTCTACTGCCACATTAAAAAAGTTAAAAATATTTCTCAAAGGTGTTTCTTTGGCCTCTTGTAGATACCTACCCTCCATCCCCTTCTTTCTTCTATTAACAGCTGATGTGATTACATCTCTAAAATGTGAGCTTGCTGCAAGGCTGCTGGGAGTGACCTCAACAACGAGCCTACGAGCTACTGTAGCTGTTAGGAGGTGAAACAGTGCCATACATTTTGCTCCCTTCAAACAACTCCCTGGAACAAGTTACTATTTTCACACTTCCATTAATTATAATCAGTTTCAAGGGTAATTTATGGCTCCCATTTAACTAAGAAATGTGCCTATTATCTCTACCTCAGCTGCTGTGAAGTCTACCTCTGTGCAATCTCCTGTTCCAGCATCCAGTAGTAGCGGCAGCGACTGTCTGGAAATACACTTGCCTTGGCATAGACGATTTCCTGCTTCAGGGGAAACAGAAGAAGTACTTGGAGGATGAAGATGCGGTCGTTCTCATGAGCTTTTCTGGAGAGAAATATGCATCGGCTGAGTACACCTATGTTTGGCTTTGTGTGAAGGGTTTATAAACTGAAATCACAGAGATTTCAAGAGAAGAGCAAGGTAAGGAAAACATAAGGTAGCTGCTCCTGGTGGGTAATGGTCTGCCCAGAAGAAAGCCTGGAATCCTGGGTCCTCTTAACATGGAATGTGAACTTGTGAACACATTTTTTTTTTTCTTTGAGACAGAGTCTCTCTGTCACCCAGGCTGGAGTGCAGTGGTGAGATCTTGGCTCACTGCAACCTCCATCTCCAGGGGTCCAGTGGGTCTCCTGACTCTGCCTCCTGAGTAGCTGGAATTACAGGTGCCTGCCACCATGCCTAGCTAATTTTTGTTTTAGTAGAGACAGGGTTTTTGCCATGTTGGCCAGGCTGGTCTCATACTCCTGACCTTAGATGATCCACCTGTCTTGGCCTCCCAAAGTGCTGGGATTATAGGCATGAGCCACTGCGCTCAGCCTTTTAAATCATCAAATACCTAGCATGAACATTATTAGCTATTTATCAAATCATGGGGGCCTAAGATTATGGCATATCTGACAAGAAGGAGAAGATGATGATACAAAAGGAACTGGCCTTCCAGGTTGGCACTGTCAATCCAAACATGGGATCCCAAGAATGCCCTGCAGTTTCAGGAGGAGACGCCCCCTACGTGGTGGTCAGGGAAGTACACTCAGTTCAGAATGAACAGCCATGCTTCTGGCCCAATACCTGCACGCTGAAGCTCTGATTTGTACTCAGTGGAGGGTAACCTACTCACCTCATGTTAGAATATGTGCAAAAAATAGAGAAGGAGCCAATAAAAGGTAAATAGGCCTGTCGCTGAACAAAGCCAGAAAGGCTCCAGATGCATGAGAGATGGGCAGAACATGTGACGTGTGAACATCAGGAAGGGGCTGGGAGAACTGTGAAGACCCTGCAGGTGGCGGATTTGTTTCACATGGCCTCTACTCCCTTACATAAACTTGGCACAGCAAATCAAGGAAAGGGGAGGGTTTAACAGACTCCTGAACCATTCCAGCTAACTCAGTCCTTCCCACATATTGTGTATTTTTTCTCTAATTTCACTGTGTCCAAGAGGTTTTTATGACAATGTTTCTTTGATATGGTATATGGTTTTACAGGGCATCCACCAAGAAGATGTACCAAGAACAGGTATGGAGATTCTGCTATACTTTATTCCATATCATGTTACAAGAAAACAACAGTGACAGCTGACAAACCATTACATCTTTCATAATACAGACAAATTACAACTGGTAACAAATAGGCAACATGTATTATTCCATTCTCCTTACTATGTGTCATTTGAAAGTATAATAGTTTTCTGAATAATGCTAACATATTTCTTAGGTACCAATCCCCTGTTAGAAAGTACACATCTCAGCGCATCATACAAAAAAATAAATAAATAAAACATAAAGGGAAAACTTAAAAATCCACTCCCAACTGAGAATGTAGGTTTTGTATGTGCCTCTAAAATATGCTGCTGTGGGAAAAGGAATGAGAATAGAAGATTGCTTATTTTATTGATTTTTTTCTGTGTGTTTTTGGTGTATGAGAAAATTACAGGGCAATAACATATACATTTCTTCTGTCTACAGGCCAGTAAAGTAGATGGAACTTATGCACAGTTATGCATCATATTCCTATGTATAGGAGGCAGGCAACATCTACCCCAGTATAGACAGCTTAAATAGCCTCTTATATAACAAAGATTACAAAACCAATAATATTCACAGATGAGTATCATATAAATGCATAACCAAAGGTACTGATTATACTGGCTGTCATATACACACCGAGGAATGGATACCAAGAGGCCTCACTTTCTTTGTAAGTCAGAGGGCTCCTGGAAACTTTCTAATCACTCTTGGGAGGTAGAAATCGCTTCTCACCCCTGCATCAGTGGATGGACAGCCACCCTGTCTTATGTCCCCTATTTTTTGCTGAGCGCTGCAAACATTTTTTTCCACATCCTATGTATATTTTAAAATCAACCAAACTGTTCTTTTAAGAAAATGGAAATTAAGGGTCAAATCTCCTTTCAGAATACTGTGTGTGCAGCGATGTGCTAAGGTGTTTGTACTATTCTTACCATCTGTTTGAGTTCAAGATATTCCTTCTTATAAAAATAATCTTACAAAACATTCCAGCGCTTTCTTAATAGAATAATAAATCTGCTAATGAACACAGTCTGTATTGATTTTCATGACTGCCCACAAAGAGGGCAGAAGAGGAAAGAAACCAAGGGAGATCATGATTGCAAATAGGGGAAGGAGAGAGGGAGGGAGAAAGAGGGGCCAGGGGTAGGAGGGAGGGAGGGAGAGAGGGAGAGAGAGAGAGAGAGGAAGAGAGAGAAACCAAACTTTGGATTTCCTGTATGCATGGCAAGTATAGGGTACTCAAAACCTCCTGACCTTGTGAGAGGTATGTCTCTGTAACAAAACAGAATTTTCTCTCCACTGATCAGTATAATATTTAACTTCTCCACAGAAGCTGCCTATGACAGGGACATGCATCTCTAATAGTCCTAGTTGAAGTCTTTCAACATTAAATATTTTCAAATTTTCAAGTTCAAAACCTTATTAAAAAGCAACATTTAACTATCAGTTGCTCTTGCTTTAGACTTAGTGAAATACAAAAGTCATGCCTCTTCTCCAAATGAATGATTCAAAACAAGTCACAGGAAAGGCCATTTTTAATTGCATGTAAAGTTTTCTCCCTATATATATTTTTTAAGAAATCCTAATTTAAGTATACTTTAAATTAAAATACCTCTAAAGACTTCCAGTGGGTTGGAATGTATGAAGGAGGAATGGAAAAGATTTCTAGGTAGCAAACAGTAGACATTCTACACTTGGGTGTTTTCTGCTCTCTTTAAAACAAACAAGAAAAAAATCCGTTCCTAAAGCCTAAAAAGTTAAAAAGAAAGCCAAAACCGGGAAAGAAGAAACAAGAACCTGAAAAAAACAACCAAAACACCACCCCGAAAAAAGAACAATTTAAAACCTAAGAAGTCCGAAGTCAAGTTCCCTCCGGGAATGAACCTGAATAAAAAAAAACCTTAACCCCAACCAAACCCCAAAAAAAAGGCTAATCAAACCTGCCCCTAAATCCCAAGCCTCAACCCAAAAAAAGGAGAAAAAATTCAAACAACCAACCAATCCCCCCCTCCTTCCGAACAAAAAGAAAAAGGAAAAACAAGGAAAAAAAAGGAATTTTGGAAGAAATTGGGGGCAAAAGAACCAAGGTTCAACCCTTAAAAGAAAGCCCCCAAACGCCCCCTTGGCCGCAAGAACAATGGGCAATCCGCAAGGAAGCCCGCCCCAACGGGAACCGGCCCGCAGCAAGCAACCCCCCCCCCAAAATAAAACAAAAAAACCGCCCGGGCCCACTTTCCCCAAGGGCAAAAAACCACCCGCAACCCCCAAGAGCCCCCAAACCCCTGAAAAAAGGAAACCGCGCCAATCCCCTTTCCATCTTTAAAGCAAGATTCCTGCCTTGTTTCTCAAATCTACATTTGAACAGTTATTCCAGGAGATGTCTTAAAGTAAGGAACCCAATGATGTCTTCCAATGGCTTGGAATTTTTTTTAATGTAATTTTTTAAAAAGGTGCTTTGTTGTAACTGAGCAAACCGTGAACTGGATAACTACGTAATTTACTTTGCAAGCCTTAACCAGCCAAGATTGCTTTCAAGGCTCATCCAACAGATACAGTTCTTTTGCACCAGGTTTAAAACATTCTGTTCCTCACTCTTTCCTCCAGTTAGAAAATGCAAAGTGTAACAGAATGGATGGAAAAAAACACAGTTACCTCAATCTCCAGAAGCTGAAACATAAGCAATTTATCCCTGTCTTTGCTCTTAATGTTTGATAATTGTTTTTTTCTCTTTCAACCTATTCAAAAAACAGTCATGCTATGTGGCTTGAAAATGCTAAGCACAGTCCAATATCCTATATATAAATGTGCAGTTATTTCCAAGTAAAAAAAAAAAACCACATTTGCAAATGTTCTCAAAAGGTAAGCTACAGGTGGGGCCCCACAGTCAGGGGCCAAGTTGTCAAGTCAAAGAACAGAGGTTTGCTTTAGCAGAAAATTTCCTTCATAGTGATTGCAAAATGTGCACTGCTCTCAAAGAAAACACACATCGTTTTATGCCACTCTGTGGCTTTCAAGTACAGACATTACTGAAGAAGTGTGAACACCAAATGTGTTGTCTTAATGTATTTAACACATGGCTGGTGAAAACACAAAAACCTTTACAGAGACGCTGCGCTACAGAGGGAAATCAAACAAAATCAAACACAAAAGACTGAAAAGAACACATGCCATGTATCAGTAAGCAAAGCTTAATCTTCACATAGTTCTTGGAAATCACAAGGTATCCAAATGCATGCAAAGTTTTAAATAAATTGCAGAGAAAACAGGGTCTTGCCAGCTTCAACTTTCTTGTGAGTGAAATTCACCACAGGGAGCGAAAGAAAACTGATCCAAGATTCCCTTCATATTATTGGCCACTTCATTAATGTTTTTTTTTTTTTCTTCCCAGAATGATGACAACTTAATCCTGGAAGGAGGAAAAGAGAAAATTGTTATATAAAAAATCTACGTCATCAATTTTTCCTAAATTGCATGAGACATCAAAATTGGTCAGTCCAAAGTGAGCCCATTGATGTTCCCCACAGCTGCTCCAAACACATAAATATGAAGCAGAATAGTCTCCTTAAACAAAAAATTCTTCTAATACAATAAACAAATGTTCTGACTACACTTTCTCCTCTTAAAATCATTTAAATCAACCAATTCAATTGGTCTATCTTCCTCTTGGATTATTTAGAGAAGAAGAAATTCAGCAAATTTCCTTCCCTAAATCATTAGTAGTAATACTGATCTTAATTACGTGCCTGTAGCATCATACAGACCATTAAAAGGACATATCATCATGCTCATTTTTATGAACATGAAATAGAAAAATGGATCACATAAATGCTTTAAAAAAATTCAGCTGTATATAATTACTTCGTTGCCTATTACCATTATTTCAGTTTCAGCAGAATGAAAATTGGCCAGTGTGACCTGAATTGGCAGCCTCTTCCCAACATCCTGTATAGGACTTCGTGTTTCCAATAATGCTTCCTTAAAACAGTAACAACTTGTGGGCGAATGGTTCAAGCAAAAAGAGGGAAGCTTCACTCTGCCCCTTTCCATACATCTTTTTGGCCCTTAAGCATTTTCACTGGGTCTCTAGGATGGGAAAAGAATGCCCTGCCAGGATGGGTAGAAACACTCCCAGGTTCAAGGCATATAGCCAAGATCAGTTCATTAGCTGCACTGAGTTCCAGAACCAGTTCCTTAGCTATGTTTAGAAGCTGCTGGTCATTAAGGCCTGGTGAGGCCTTCGTGTCCCCATCTACAAGGCTGTAGAATCATCTTCCCAGATGCAGAGGGAACCCTGGATGGTGTCTGATCCCAAAGGTTTTGTCCTTGAGACTTCACAGTGCAGTTGTCCTGCTGCTGCCTACACAGGCTGTGGCATCAAGGACATCACCCCTGCATAGCAACAACCTAGCAATACCTTGACCAGAGAGCAGAAATTCCTCTCTTACACTCAGGAACCATTGAAATAGCATCCTCCCCACCCTTTACCATTTCCCCTACTTACTACGATGAGTTTCTGGCATGTTAAATTTCCATTCTTTCTTAAAATCAAAGCAAAATTTATAGAAAACAAAATGAACCATTTCAAAGAATACAACCTAGTGGCATTCAGTGCATTCACAATGTTGTTCAACTATCATCTCTATTTAGTTCCAGAGCATTTTCACCCCTAAAGGAGATCCTATATCCTGTAAGTAGTCACTCCCTATCTCTCCTTGTCCTAGCCCTGACAACTATTAATACTAACATTTCTGTCGCTATGGATTTACCTATTCTAGAAATTTCATACAAATGGAATCATACAATATGTGACTCATCGTGTCTAGTTTTTTTCACTTAGCACGATGTTTTTGAAGTTCACCCATGTTGTAGCATCATTATTTTTTAGGGTTGAATAATATTCTGTTGTAGGAATACACCACAGCTCATTTATCCATTCATTGGTTGATGTATATTTGGGTTGTTTCATCTTTTGGCTAACAGTGAATATTGCTGTTCTGAACATTCATGTACAATTATTTGTTTAAACACTGTTTTAAATTCTGTTGAGTATATATCTAGGAGTGAAATTGCTAGGTCACATGGAAATTTTATGTTTAACTTTCTGAGGAACTGCCAAACTGTTTTCCATCATGGCTGCACCATTTCACATTCCCACAAGGAATGTATAAGGGTTCCAATTGCCAAAACGTTTGTTTGTTAAAAAAAAAATTATAGCCATCCTAGTGGGTATGAACTGATTTGCACTTGCATTCCCCTAATGATTAGTGATGTTGGGCACCTTTTCTGTTTTTTTTTTTTTTTTTTTTTTTTTTTTTAAAGACACGGTCTTGCTTTGTCACCCAGGCTGGAGTGCAGTGATTCAGACCTAGCTGACTGCAGCCTCGACCTTCCTGGGCTCAGCGGATCCTCCCATCACAGCATCCCAAGGAGCTGGGACTACAGGCACACACCACCATGCCTGTTTAATTTTTTGTATTTGTAGAGACAGGGGTTCACCATGTTGTCCAGACTGGTCTTGAACTCCCGGACTCAAGCCATCTGCCTGCCTTGGCCTCCCAAGATGCTGGGATTACAGGCATGAGCCACCATGCCCAGGCTGTTGAGGACCTTTTCATGTGGTTGTTGGCCATAAGAATATCTTCTTTGGAGAAATATCTATAGATGTCCTTTGTTCATTTTTAAATTGGGTTGTCTTTTGGTTGTTGAGTTGTAGGAGTTCTTTATACATTCTGGATATTAATTCCTTATTAGATATTATAATTTTTCTCCTATTCCATAGGTTGCCTTTTTACTCTGTTGACTGTGTCTTTTGATGTACAAAAGTTTTAAATTTTGGCAAAGTTCAATTTATCTCTTTTTTCTTTTGTTGCTTATACTTTTAGTGTTACATGTAAAAACCCAGTGTGAAATCCAAGGTTACAAAGATTTACCCCTATATTTTCTTCTAAGAGTCTTATAGTTTTAGCCCTTGCATTTATATCTTTAGTCTATTTTGAGTGAAGTTTTGTATATGGTATGAGGTAGGGGTAACCTTTTATTCTTGAGAGTTCTCTGTCCTCAATTACTGAGCCAAAGGTAAACAAAAGCCCTTCCTTAAGTTTCTAGGAGAGGCCTGGGGGGTAGATGGATACCACACATAGGCCCTTTGATACCCCTGCACCCCACCTCCTCAGTTATTATCTCAAATCCTTGCTGCTTGTGGGGCAGTTGTCCATGAGGCTTATTTGACCACTCCTCAGCCTTGCTTGATTGTGCAACTACGACTTTATCAAACCTCTTCTTAAGTCACCACCCTAGCAAAAATAATTACGTGGGAACAACCTCCTTTGTCTCCAGCCTACCCTTGTTGTTTCAGGGAAATGAAGAAAGAATGTGCTGTACATGCTGCTCCATGTAACTATGCATTCTGATCTAGGCATTGGCATCTTTTTTGAGGTCCATGAAATCGAGAAGAGAGAGCACTCATCCTTACAGTACTTTAAGCACGCTTGTCCACAGGTATCCTCACCTGATCCTCAACCCCACTATCAGCGTTGACATTTTTATTAAGCAGATGATAAAAGCGTCTTTTTCCTTCCATTTACCTTAAACAGCAATTGAGATTCCAGCTCTTCCTGGAAGCCTGCCCACCCCAGCTAAATGGGAGCCATAGGTCTGTCCTGACATCTGCTTGCCCAGGCATGGAGTTCCTACAACTATACGCAAATGATGTAGTCCTTCCTGGCTCTCCCCTCTTTTACCACTCTAATCAACAGAATGGAGACTTGGTACCCACACTGACCTCCTGAACCAGAGACTTCATTTAGTCCCTCCTAAGGTGTGAAGACACTTCCTATGAAGGAGCAATCAGGGGACAGGTGGCATCAGTGTGTTCTTGATTAAGCTAGATTTTGTTGACTCTTGTGTCCCCAGAGCACAGACCACGCCTGGCTCAGGTGCTCAATATACAGTTATTGAATGAATAAAGGTGGAAAATGTAGAATCTGAAGATTTGAAGGTGGAACATGTTTTCAGATGTAGAGTTCCCTATGGCACATTCACTAAAGGCAAATGCGAGGCCTGTGAAATAGCACAGAGCTGCATGCAGAGCAGGTCATCCACAGATATACCACTAGCCTGAGGATGGTTGGTAGGATTAACACCTTCCTGTAGGCAAAACTTACTTTTTTTTTTTTTTTTAAACTCCATGACATTATATTTGAAAGGAATGATTTGATTTCCAGTACATCTGATTTCATGTAACATTAAACTATGTTGTCACCATAGTCAATGGCATATTTACTATCCTGTTGGGTTAAGATGTTTTTTAGACATCGATGGTGTTTGTTCTTGCCTTTGTCCTGATTCTTTGAGTGTAATCTCTAGGAGAATCACATGTGCCTAACCTAGGGCATAAACAGAATTGCATAATAAAGGATAATACATAATAATAGTAATTGGATAATAAATGGTGAACACAGTGATTACGATAAGTCCATTACTTAGATTTGGGCTCAAACATTTAATGGAAGGAGCCAATAATGAGAACAGAAGGGAGGTAGACACTTTCCCATCTCTGTGAGCTGACTCCAAATGCCCCAAATTATGCTGGTTACCCTGCCTGGTGCTGTTCGCCAGCAGCATGGGATGTCCCTTCTTCCTCCTTGAGTAGCATTAGCTTCAATTTTCAATGAGTACGTATCAGGTAGGTCAGTTTTTGCTGGAAAATTGTTAAGAAAATCTAAATGCAATCATACATTTGATGAATGGGGATTTAGGTAGAGGGATAGAGGGTATACTACAATCACAGGGAAGCAAAATATAATAGCAATAGCAATGTAAATCTTTCCTTACCTTTATTAAAATATGCAGCATGCACAATACAAATGAACAGTGAATATGAATTATAAGCTCAACTATGTGCATAGCCACTCATAGGTATATAAATCATAAGATTAATGGATGCCATTTTTATCTTGCTTTCAGCTTTTACAATGTTCTTTCTCTCTAGAAATGAATGTTTTAAACAAGAAATTGGATTTGATTGATAAAATCCTTATTCAGAAATATCTACATAGAGCTTCTTGGCTATAAATATTAATTAATTGGATCGCTGGTACCCATAATGCAACTTTGTTCTGACCCATGTGCCCTATGAACTAGATATTTTTTGGATTCAATTTTCTTAAAACCAACTGTCAGCATCATGTGATGGAGGAGATGAAAAATGAAAATGAGCAGTCCCGCTGTGCAGGTGGGTGACCTGTGGGAGAGAGTCTGCCTGGTAGGATTTTTACACGAACCATCAGACACAGACCAATTGATTAGATCATCTCATACCCGCCACCAACTAGGCTCAAGAGACTAATTAGAGAGAGTACTGCCTGCGCAGGCACCCCATTGACACCTAATTTGCTCAGCCAAAGC